TTATGTCGCGTTTTGTTACCATAGTCTCCTGGAGGGAGAGCGGGCATTGTGCGTATAGATCTATACGGGACCGACAATCCCACATCCCGACTGTTAGCAACAGTTTGGCCGACATGCCAAGGGGCGACAAATGTCACACTGTTCGACGCCAGAAGGTCGTCGTGTTCGTCCTTGTCAATTAGCATGGTTACAACCTTATCACATTTTAACCCTAATTAACCAGTTTAATAATAGGGTAGTTATTACACCAGTAGTGTATTTTTAAGAAATACTACTGCATGAATCATTTTCCATAAACAAAACAGAAAACATTCTTCTTATAATTTTATGGTGAGTTAAAATTATGTCATGGTAGGTTATAAGTACAATAACACTTAAATAGAACGGTTTTATGGGATTAAAACTACTTTTCAGTTGTAAAGCAGAACATATAGGATTTTCTGGAACGAAATCAATCACTTTCTTAAAACTAAAGCAACCATAAAAGAAACTAATACTTATGAACTCATCAGCTTAAATGCTGATCCTCTCTTTCAAAATAACTTGTATTCTCAGGGAATCTAGTAGACAGATACACTCCCGGAGCTTTTGAGAAGACAGCCTAATGCTGTGCCGCGTCTTTTGTCATTTACTTTATTTACTTTTGATTTCAAATATTTAATATTTGAACACTTATGTAAAAACTTATACATTATTACTGCAATGGTTGTTGTACTTTGATTATTATAATGCATGTGTTGTGATACTTGACATGAAGTCACCCACCCCCGGACGTTTCCGCCGTTCTGGTTTGGGGGTGTGACATAAAGGCACTATCTGAAAAGTTGGATTGCTTAATTGAGTCCACCAAAACATCCTCTCGTGGTGACTACTCTCAAGAAACTGTCAAGGCCTTCTTTGAAACGCTGACGAAGGAACACTCTACGAACCTTGACAAAACAAATCAAGCTGTTGAGGCTTCAGCTTCTGTATGCAAGGATACGACCGAAAAAGTCGATAAAATAATCACTGATGCTCGATCCTTTATGAGTACTTTTCAGAACTCTTTTGAGACGAACACTGCAAAGGCAAATGCAGTGATTACTAGTCTTGGATCCACAATTCGTATTGAGAAGGATCATCTTGAGCAAGTTCGCACTGGCATCAAAATTGACAAATCAGAGTTTCACTCCTCCATCTCTTCCAAAATAGACAAGCTTCATGAAGACTTGGCTATGGAGAACAAAATAATGGATAAGCTCGCAGTCAAGACAAAAAAGGTGAAAGTTTTATCTGTCTAGCTCTCTCATGCTAATACATGAATAGATGAACTCTTATCTGAAAAAGCTGCAATGAAGAGTTGTATTGGTGATGTGAATGCCTTACTCTCATATATAATTGAGACTCATGATTCTCTAGTCACGATCACTGTTAAGAAGCATCTGGCTGAAAAACTTAGGCCTGTGTTTGCGATGCTCAACAGGCTTGAGGGTGTTTCAGAGTCTGGCACACTTCCGAAATAAGGGGGAGACACTGTGAAGCAATCTACGAAAGAAACCCCGAAACCAGCTGATACAACTGTAAGTGAAAGTCAGAAAACGAACCGAAGGATAATGAAGCTTCGGGTTCAAAAGGTAAAGAAAAGCTTATCGATGATAGTGAAGAAGATGAGACCGATGAGCATGAGCTGAAACGAAGGAAGGCTCGTGAAGCTCAAATTGATGAACATAATCACATTGTAAGAGAAGCAAAAGAGAAAGAGAAAACTGAACGAGAAGCTCAACTCACTTTGGAAAGCATGAAGTTTTTATTTCCATTGTGGACTTTAGAGCGAATTATGAATGAGGTTGTCGACAATCCATGCCAATATTGGTTAGAGCTTGTTGCATCTTTCGACTTGCAGAACACACAAGATTCGCAACTTGATCTTCCAATAACACCGAAAGCCTTCAAGTTTCGTAGCTTCATCAAAGTTGCGAACGTTCCTCTGTCTGACAACGGTGCTGACCATATGCTCTTCTCCTTTTACTTAAAGTACATGAAGCCTCAGTATGAAACATGGAGTGTGAAAAAGATAACAGTTGTGAAGGTTTCAGGTCCAATTGAAACAGATAGCTTCCCAAATGCTCGTTTTAAGGTTGCTAGAGGTTCTACGAGTCAAGTATACGAATTTACACTTGCCGACCTACCTTGCTTGAACCCGTACAGTTGGATTTTGCTGCTCAATATGCTGCTCAAGGATGAACAAAAGTATGAAGACGTTGTTGCTCATCTCAAACGAATGTTAGTTTCGTACATTCAAGAGGTTGGCAAAATGGACGTTGAGATTGCAACTGTTCTACGAAAGAGGCCGACTATTTTCCCCAAGGAAGTTCCAGAAGATTTCGACAAAATGAAGCTGGGGAAATACGAAAGGAAGGCTGGTGCATGGCTTTTCAACTCAAAGAGCGAACAGATGCTGATTTCCACAAAGTTTGTTTCTATCTTGCTGATAAGCATCTTTACTCTACTTCTTGCCTGCAATACATCTTGGAGTTTATGGATAAATGCAAAGCGAACCGTAAAGGTGATAAGAAGTGTTTCTCCGATATGATCCTTTGGTATATCCAGGTTCGCAAGGCCTTGCTGAGCATCATTCCGAAGCTTTTTGAAGTTCAGAGGCGTACTCAACCGTGACGGTCTCCTGCCTCAGTTGATGTAAAGGGGGAGATTGTTGGGTTATATGGGTTGCGTCATTGTGTATTAAGTGTTTAGTCCGTTTTTGTATAACGGGTTGGGCCTGTCCACCTGATTATTTATTATTAGGGTTTTACTATTTAAAGTGCATGCATGCACCGTATCTTGTAATCGTCAATCTTGTAAACCCTACACAACCTTTACAGTAGCAGTTCTTCATCGAGCTCTTATAAGGCTGTGCTTATTAATCATTCGACACAACATTGATCTTCTTTCCGTGTTTTGATTCTTTTACCTGTTTCAATCTAATCGATCATTCAAGTTTTATACTTAACAATTTTGTTTTATAATCTGTCATATCTTGGTTTTTCCCCAACGTTGTCCTTAACTGACAATTTTTCAGGATTTGACTAGATTACATGAGGAATAGTACTGGCCTATGTAGTCAAAATTTATTTTGTCATTCTTCCAGAAATGGAGAAGTAGATGCCTGTGGGCCCCCAGATAATTATTATTATATTTGGTAATTATCTTTAGGGTTTCAAATTACCTCCCTATATAAAGAGGGATCCAAATCTGCTTTTCGTGTGTAAGAAAAATACTTCTCTGCTGCAAAAGTTCAGAACCCTTGAGAAAACCCTACAAACCCCAAAGTGTCGATACCACGTTGTGACACCTTTTCTGCTACGTGGTGGCGATGATCAGATTCATCGATTTGAGTTAGTTTTATGTTGGTTCTTGGTGGTGCTTTCAGATATGCTGTTTATTTGTGTCTTGGGTGCGATTATAAGAGATGAACTCTACATTGGGTTCTGAAGTCTGATTAACTAGATCATCAAAAGAAAAACACAAAAGAAAGCAAATTTATGATTTGTTCTTTTGAATTCATTAAGTTGCATAGATAGTTTGAGTTTGATCCGCTTGTTTCGAGTCTATAAATCATTATTTGTTATTGCTTCTACTGTCCTGATTTGGTATATGACTAGGCTCTAAATTGTTTAAGAAGGTCCTATTGAAACTGATGGGGGGTGGGGGTGGGGGGGGGGTTATAAGGTAGCAGTCAGGCCTACCATGTTGTATCCAAATGTTGGTCGAGCAAGAAAGATCATAAGATGAATATTAAAGTAGAAGAAATGAAGATGTTGATGCAGACTTTTGGCAAAACTTTGCTAGATAGGATCCCGAATGCAAATATAAGGATTTTGTTAGGTATGGTTCAAATCATCGAGAAATTGAGGGAATGTCGATTGAGGTGGTATGGACATATCCAAAGAGGCTACCATTTACTATGGTAAGGAGGATTAAATAAATAATGAATGATGATGGTAAAACGAGGATATGACGTCCTATAAGGAAGTGAAGATAATGTGAGGTTAGATGTGGATGAATTTGTTTGTAGCCAATGACCTTAGATGAGAATGTGTGGAGGTTATACATTACGATTAATGAGTAGCCTAACCCCTTTTATCAGTGTGTCTTATGATTTATTTTTTCGATAGTTTCTATGCTTACATGCTTCTCCGATGTATTTATGTATTATTATTGATCTCATTGACTTACTCCACTTTGTTATTTTTTTGCATTAATGTTCCAGGACCATATACTTGTATTGTGATTTTATCTAGTTTTAGGGGATAATGCTCATTTTAACTTACTCTCTTCTTATTTTCCCACATCCCAAACTACATGTTTGCATACACGGGAGGCCATCCCTCACTAATCTGACCCTATAAAGAAATAACCGTCTAATAAGATTCTACTTAGAGCATATCCAGTGGTTAACCTATACTATAACTTAATATTATTGACACCTCATCATTCCATTATATTTAACCTCTAATTAAATGACATCTCCTATGGTTAAACTCTTTTAGTAATTTTTTCTTTAAATTTAACTAATCTATCCTTTTTTATTTTAAATGTTCTACATAATCCCCTCAGTTTAGTTAGTCATTTTTAAACACACATTGTATTTTAATACAAACTATTTTACTAAAGATTTATCATTATAAATTTATATTTCATAAATAAAATGCCATTAAACATTTAATAGAATTAATTAACTAGTAATAAATAAATAAATTAAAAACTAAATTATACTTAAGTGAAAATAAAATATGAGGAGAAGATAAAGAGATTGAATGTACAAAAGATTAAAGAGATTGAATGTACAAAAGATTAAACTATATTGACCATTTAATTTAAATTAAGTGGTCAATAAACAAAAAAAATTTATGTATTTCGGTAGCAATAACAATAAGTACTCAATATAAATAAATAAATAGTAAAATTGGAGATTAAAGATGCTCTAGTTTGTTGTTGTTGATTTATAACATATCTTATTCTCATGAAAAAAAAAAAGAGAGAATAGAGGGTCCGATTGTAGTACTTAAAAAAGCAAGAATTTGAATGTCCGATATTTAGAGAGCCGGCGAGTCCGTAGAGCGTCGAGTTTCGAGAAAGCGCCGGGCAAAGAGAGGTAAACGATGACGAACGCCGCGCAAATTCCGACGAGTTTCGGCCATGAACTTCGAGCGTGTCTTCGTTGCCGCCTAGTGAAAACGTACGATCAGGTTCGCTACGCATTTCCCCTAACATCGTTGATCTAGTAGCCCTAAAATTCCAACTAGGGTTTTGTATTACCGATTTTGGTTTTGTTTGAGGTCAAGCTAATCTAGGTTTCGGTTTGTAGTTTGTAATTTTGCTGTTTGTGTATGAATTAGTTGTTTGCTGCTTACTTGAGCCGTTTGGATGTTTTGAGTTGTAGTTTCGAGAATCAGGATGTGAGAACTGTAGTTTCTTCAAGATGGAGGAGGATCATGAACGTGTCGCGGATTGCACTACCCCTAATTTTACCGGGTAAAGATTTACACCCTAAAAAGCGAAGGATGTCTCTTTTCTTAGAATGCAGGAAAGGCTATAAACATTTTGTCTGGGACTGTGGATTTAGTTAGAGAAGATACATCTGTTTTAAAACATGATATACATGATACATGATATCTGTTTGACTTGTGCAAACATGAATTAATTGGGAAAGGGAGACATTGAACGCCATAGCTCACACAGATCCAATAAAGCTTGTTGTTTCAGATAATTTAGCAGTGTTTTAGATACGTGTTTTCTTTATGTATGTTATATGTGTTTATGCATCTCTGTTGGGAAAGGGGTTAGCAAAAGATACAATGAAATGATATGTGGTGACACTGTCACAAGTGACAAGACCATTGACATTGTTTGATTATGTTAAAATACTAGATTATAGCTCTAGAGTAGATGGAGACTAGTTAATGGTTTTTGTTACTAAATGTAAATGTTCCTTCCCTTTTGCTGTAGGATTATATCGGTAATGGATCCTGCCAGAAGTTGGGCTGCTAGGTGGCTTCGAATTGGTATTACTTAATCCCATTTATTGTCTCCAATCCATACACTTGTCACTTGTCACTTGTCACTTGTGGTGTTAAATGTCCATGGCTATAGCATGGTTTTTTGTTACTAAATGTTTCCCTTTATAACTATCTAGTTCCTTGCCTTAAGTCTGGAAGATTTTTTTTTTTGTTGACCTGGGATTTCTGGTTTGCAGGCAAATATGTTCCTGGTTGCTACACACTTGCAGTCTCAGAAGCCCTATCGGAGGATCTGCAGGTTCTTGACTTTTACCATATATTATATTATATTATATTATTATTACATGCAAGAAATATCAATGTACTTTCATTGATTTGTTTCTTATAACATCCTACTTTCATTTTACTTTGAAAAATCTGCTTTCATCCAAATACAAAGCAATATTTTGCACTGCTATAATTGTATAAAAGTGACAAATAAGAAAGAATAGAATTCCTTGATTTTGTTTATTTTTACATCCTACTTCCTATTACTAACTACATTACTGTTCTTCAAAAAATCAGCCTCATGAAAACCTTATATTCCTTCTATGCTTGCTACAAATAAAATTGGATGGAGTATTCAGTATAATGTTCTAATGAGAAAAAGAATTCAAAGTACAATGTTATATTGAGCAAAATTCATAAAGGTTTTTTTTGAAGGTTGGATGTTGATGACAAAAAAAATAAATGAAAGTATATTGCTATTTCTTGCTCTATGGCCCATACACATACATAACTATTTGGTTTTGTTTTTTTTTTTCCAGGCTCTATGTGAGGAAGAGCGGGTGCAATATCATCCACCAAAACGCGCATGAATCTATATATAAGTTGAATTCATAGTTGTAACTGTTTGGTATAAAAAACTAGAAGACTTGGCTCAAACACTTCCTTTAGGAGACTTACTTTTTGTTGTATGGGAGATTTTTGATTTATTAAGATTCCGACTTCTCCGTATTTGTCTCTTTTTTTATTTCATGTATATATTTCTCAATGGGTTGGTTATACCATCCATGAAAGTTAATCATTTTTTTTTTTTTGGTGTTATAGTAATGACAAATTTGTTGTATTTGGTTTTAACTACTTATAAAAATATTCAAATTAGACAGAAAAATTACATAAATGGTCCATGTGCTTGGCAAAACATACCAAGTTTGATCCTTGCGATGGATTTATTGCAAAGGGATAAGCCAAACCAGGTGTATGAAAGAAGGAACAAGAAGCCCAAATTTATTGCAAAGTGATAAAGCCCAAAACAGGTGTATCAAAGAAGGAACAAGAAGCCCAAAACACGGACAAACTCAAACAGTGAAACAACATCTTGAATCATGGGGGAATATTTCTTTTTTGTCGATTGGTCATTTATGTTTATGTTGTGAGCGGTATCCTTCCTGTGCCAGCTCTGTCCTCGGGACCATCAGGAGGATGGGAGATATTTGCCTTTTTTGCTTTTGTTTAGTATTTAACCCCCTTTGGTGTGGTAGTGTTAGCTAGTGAAGAATTGAATAGTGAAAACTATCTTTGAAAGTTCATTGCCTCTCGAAAGCATGAAGATTATCAATATCATTTGAGTTTATTTTCATTGATTGTTAGTTTTTTTTTTTATATTTATTATTTATTTATTATGTAAGCTTTGCCTATCGATTGTTGTATTAGAGCAAAATGGTAGCTCCCTAAAAGAACACTGTTCCATTGGAAAAGAGGCTGGAAGCTGTGGAAGAAAACTTGGGGAACATCAGGGATGAGCTACAACAACAAAGTTGGTGAATCAACAACATGCCAGAGCAACATAGGACAATAAACTCATGCAAAACGAAATCACCAAGAAGCTGAATCTTCTGGTAGGGAAGGTGGATAAGATAGAATGAGGTAAATTGCTGAAACTCTTAACTTTGGTCTGAAATCCCTAATCGTTACTAGTATGGACAAGAATCTCAGTCCTGAGGGTTTATGACTTAGCGGGACCAACATTGGAGGTCCAGAACTTGTTTTTGGGTCGTTGGAAAGTTTAAATCAAAGGAGAGGTCGGTTTGAATTCTAACATCGAAAGGTCGACATGCCCACCTTCGATGGCAATGACCCCGATGGGTGGATTTTACATGCAGAAACGTATTTTGTCATTTATAAGTTGGTAAATGAGGAGAAGATCAAAGCAGCGGTTCTCTGTCTGGGGGGAGATGCTCTATCGTGGTTCCGGTGGTCTAGCAAGCAACACACGATAACCACTTGGGAAGATATGAAAGACGTCTTCCTTCGACGCTTCCGACCAATCCACGGTGGTACCTTGTACAAGCAGTGGTCAGCGCTTTGTCAAACAGGCCCAACGGAGGAATACGTCCAGAGATTCATCGGACTTTCGACACCACTGGAAGGCGTTAATACAAGTCGATTTGGGTAATTTTGTAAATAGGTTGAAATCTCTAACTAAAAAAGAATTAAGAATGCGGGAGCCTAAGAAATTGGGTTGGGCTTTCGCGTTAGCCCAACATATTGAGGCAAAGAACCGATCCAACTAGAATAATGGATTCGATATCCTAAATCCTAGAATCCCTGCTCAAGTAGGTTCTCGCATGTTCAACAACACTTCTTCATCTCTGACAACAGGCACATGGTCTCGATTTGGGAACTCTTTCAAGCGAAATGGGAACCTTGAAGACAAACCCTTGACACAAGCCCAAATCTTCGACAAAAGGGCTAGGGGTTTGTGCTAAAAGTGTGATGATAAATGGTACATGAGACACAAATGAAAGGCTCAAGTGAACGTGATCCTGGTGGAAGACGAAGAAGAACCGCCGGGGGAAGAAGAAATAGAAGGACCGCAAGCCGTTTTGGACTCTGTGATGGTTGAAGTCTCTCTTAATTCTGTAGTGGGTTTGACATCCCCATAAACCATGAAGATAAGGGGATTGATTGGGGATAAGCAGGTAGTAACCCTAATTTATCCATGGGCCACACACAACTTTATTCAACAATTTTGGTGGACAATTTGGATCTCTCACTTACCGACACCGAACAATACGAGGTCTGAATGAGAACATGGGACAAAAAGGAAGGGAGAGGGATGTGCCAGGGAATCCATCTTCAACTTCAAGATGTCGACATTTTTGAAGACTTTCTTTCTTTAAGGTTGGGGAGCTCGGATGTGATCCTTGGGATGAAGTGGCTGGAAACGTTAGGCACGACCAGAGCCAACTGGAAGGACCAAACTATGGAGTTTGAAGTAGGAAAACAACAAGTCAAATTGACATGTGACCCATCTCTCGGGGCCTCTTTAATCTCTTTGAAGTCCATAGAAAAAGAGCTACAAAGAGAAAAACGAGGAGTGATGGTGGAGCTGAGCAGCCCCGAAACATGGGTGACACACACCGGATGTCACACCCCTGGTCGGCGGCGGAAACGTCGGACTGTGCGATGTATGGATATTGGATCACAGTCATTGAACATACATTGAACAATACAAAACAATATAAAACACAAATATCATTTCCATTATGGATTAAAATATTACGTCCAAACGTACTTCGAAAATACTAGAAATTCTAATACAAAAGGAGTCTTGAGGGCAGGCCTAACTATAACGGTAATAAGTCTTTGGTAGCTTCGTCAATCAACCACTGCTTTCGGAGGTGTAATCTTCCATCTCGTGATTTCCTAGGAATACATGTGGTTTTGAAAACGTCAACGCAATGTTGGTGAGTTCATAGATTTTTATACTTTGATAGTACTTTTGTTTATAACCTTGTTCATTTGTAAACGTATCATTATCAAGGTATCTTTTCGTAGTATTCTATTATTTATAGATACTGTAATTCGGACTTTACTTATTATTTATTATATACTACCATTCTCTTTAGGTTTTACCCTATCAAATGTAGTATAATACAATCTTGTTCTTAGTATAATTATCTTATAGATATATACATATACTACATATACTTTTATTCCCAAAGTATACTCGTGAAGAGCAATATTTATAATCTTAGAGTGAGAGAGATCTTTCGTATGCAAGATTAAGTTGGGAATACCATCCAATATTAATCTACATAACCGTTTAGCTTTATTAATTAATTTACTATTTCATTTTATTAAATAAATATTTTTAACAAAACCAAACTAGCGGAGTGTCAATATAACCATTATAAGAGTTGAGAGACGGCCTAATATATTACTATTATACGTCTAATTCGATCGTAGATACGTCATAATATATTACTATTATCTGTTTGACGAGAATAACGATTGGCTAAAATGCTATTCCTTTGGCCAACTCTAGTTATTATGTTACCATAGAGAAATGGCCTAGCATGACGTCCAAATATAATGTTATTTAAAATTTTCTTACATAGTTATATATATATATATATATATATATATATATATATATATATATATATATAATAGCCGTTTACCCGCGTCAAGCGACGGGTATTAATAGTCTTTTCAGAAATTAATTTCAAGAGACGATTAATTCTTTTGCACAAATAGCTTACTACATCTAAACAATTATCAATAAGAGTAGTGCGAATAGAACCGAAATCAATAAGAATTAAAAATGAAAAGTTGAGATTATTTTACAAATATACATAAATACATGATTGATTGTGCATTATTAATCTGCAACATCTCTTTATAAAACACATTTGATGTATAGACTTCACTGCCGCTGAATTATTCGTCAAGTTTCACCAATATTTTTGTATTAGCACGTGATATTTCTTTCGATGATGTCACATAAAGTTGGGAGACTAAAACATCTTTTTTAGTATAAAAATTTATAGTTTTGGTTTAGGTTTAAAAAACTAAATCACATTGGTTAAAAACAAAATTATAAAAAAAAATCAACCGATTGATTTAATGCGATTTGGTTTTGAATAAAAAAAACTGATATCTACGGTGAGGTACACATTATTTATAGTACTTTTGAATGTATGCATGTTTCATTGGTTTTTAGAAAACCAAGTGGAGTTTTAAATGTAATGTTTATTATAGAAAAACATATTATTCAATTAAAGTGTATGATATTAAATTGGTTCATTTGTTTAGTAAGATAAAATGAGAAATAGTAAGGTTTTTTTTATTAGGGATAGGACTTATGTTTTCAACTATATATGATTGTATAAGATGGTTGTCGAAAGCTGATAATTCGAGTGTAAATGGTTATTATAAGTTTTTATTTGTGGTAAATAATTGAAATATACAAAAAGAAACTTGTTAATGTTTTTTAACAAACAAATTATAAATTTACTGGTCTTTTATACTACTTCATTATATTTGGCTATTTGCTATCGACCGGTTTGTGGCCATTTTTTTAACAAAATTTATGATTATTACTTATATTGTTTAATTAGTTATTAAAATGGTCGAGAAGAACCACAAAGTATAACTTACTAAAATATTTATGAAAATTTAATCAAATCCAAAATGAAATAAGCAAAAAAATATTTTAATATGATCGATTAAAAAAACAATACTACATAGAGTACTCTAAAGAAAAAGTGCACCCATAGTGTTCCTCCTCATGGACCGAGTCATAAAGAAAAAGTCAAAATTTTTGTATATTTTAGTTCTTAAATGAAACGTGATTATATATGTGGTATGAATATATCTTTATTGCAAAAACTGTAAATGGTGACATTTATGTTTTGTAAATTAATGATAGCCTAATGAACTCGCATCTTGAAGGTCATCTTGTATATCAGTAATAACCCTTCTCACTTCAGATCTCACAGTTTCATATATTTCACTTGAGGCAGTGTCTTTTATTGAGTTATCCCCTTCAAATGACTGCAGCTAATGAAAATGTCAAAAGAATAACTAACTAAATAATATTATTTTATAATTCACAGTTTTATATTTAGACCTCATTCATTACACAAAACCTGGCAGGACATGACAGAACTTTGAGTGTGTTAATAATTTCTTGGATATAGACGAATTAAACCCTTTAAACAATATCTTGTGAGCATTATCCAAGCTAAAATGTCATTAAATTGAATATCATAGATCCAAG